CGATCGTCTTCGTGATCCTCATCAAGCGACGGCAGCAGAAGATCCGGAAGTATACGATGCGGAGGCTGCTGCAGGAGACGGAGGTGAGGCTGGGTGAAGGCCTTCCAGCCTGCATGGGGTCTACGGCTCTGTCCCCGCACTGACCTCACCTTCTCACCCCAGCTGGTGGAGCCACTGACGCCCAGTGGAGCAATGCCCAATCAGGCTCAGATGCGGATCCTTAAAGAGACGGAGCTGAGGAAGGTGAAGGTGCTTGGATCTGGAGCTTTCGGCACAGTCTACAAGGTCAGAGTCTGGACCAGGTCCTGGGGTGGGCCATCCTAGGGGATGGGGCGGTGCCTGGAGGGGCGTGGTGAGGAGTTCTGATTGATGGGAGGGGTAGTGCTGTTTGGGAGAGGGCAGTTACAGAGGCGGGAGAAGGGAGACAGAGAGGACAGATACAGAGGTGGATACAAGTGGGGCCAAGCCTGAGGTGGGAAGGAAGTTGGGAGCACAAGTAACGCCCTCTGACCTCCGGGAAGGCAGGTGCATCTGGCCCACACTCTGCCCACTCACACCCTCCTCTTTCTGCTCAGGGCATCTGGATCCCTGATGGGGAGAATGTGAAAATCCCAGTGGCCATCAAAGTGTTGAGGGAAAACACATCCCCGAAAGCCAACAAAGAAATCTTGGACGTAAGTCCCTGCACCACTCCTGCTGGGAATATGGGAGGGACCTCTCGGCTGCAGGTCTGGGCTCTAGTCTCGCTTCACTGAGCCTTGGGGAGATGTGATTCCTCCAAGCCTCCACTGCAGACTGTGGTTTGTGATGGCTGGTGTTGCCCCTCAGGTGGGCTGCGTGGGGGCTGGGGGCTTTGGGGTCTTTCCTTCTCAGTGTCCCCTCGCCCCCAGGAGGCATACGTGATGGCTGGTGTGGGCTCCCCGTACGTCTCCCGCCTCCTGGGCATCTGCCTGACATCCACAGTGCAGCTGGTGACGCAGCTCATGCCCTATGGCTGCCTCCTAGACCATGTCCGGGAACACCGCGGGCGCCTGGGCTCCCAGGACCTGCTGAACTGGTGTGTGCAGATTGCCAAGGTGCGCACTTGGGGGCTTGGGCTCTGCAGGTCCCTCGGGAGCAAGCCCCGGTCTCCATGCAGGGCTGGGAGTATGGGGCTGGGGCCAGGCCTTCCCGGAAGACCCACACGGGTGCCTCCCATCCCAGGGGATGAGCTACCTGGAGGACGTGCGACTTGTGCACAGGGACCTGGCTGCTCGGAATGTGCTGGTCAAGAGTCCCAACCACGTCAAGATTACAGACTTCGGGCTGGCTCGGCTGCTGGACATTGACGAGACAGAGTACCATGCAGATGGGGGCAAGGTGAGAGCAGGCGGTGGAGGAGGCAGGGTGGGGTAGGGCCTGGTCCCCCCAGGAGGACTCTGAGAAGAGCCACTTCCCCAGCACACCCAGTCGGAGGACTTCCCCCTCTCCCCTCCCAGGTACCCATCAAGTGGATGGCGTTGGAGTCCATTCTCCGCCGGCGGTTCACCCACCAGAGTGACGTGTGGAGTTACGGTGTGTGGGGGGGAGCGTCAGGAGGGCTGGACGAGGAGCCACGGCCTTGGGGGGATGCTGGTGGGAGGATGAGAACTGGAATGGGGGGAATTGTGGAGACACCTCAGCATGTGGGAGCCTGTGCCCCACCCTGCAGGGTCTTCCCACTTACTAGGGATTGGGGAAAGACTAGATGGATCCGGTCTCCGGGCATCTCATCTTTCTCCCTTCACCCTCATTATGGTGCCAGGCTCCTGGGTGGAGCTTCTGGGCTTGAACACTGAAGTTCCCCCACCCCTGACTCCTGTCTCGTCCCTAGGTGTGACTGTGTGGGAGCTGATGACTTTTGGGGCCAAACCTTATGATGGGATCCCTGCCCGGGAAATCCCTGACCTGTTGGAGAAGGGGGAGCGGCTTCCCCAGCCCCCCATCTGCACCATCGATGTCTACATGATTATGGTCAAATGTGGGTGGCTGAGCTGTGCTGGCTGCATGGAGGAGGGGTGGGAGGTCCTGGGTGCAAGAGCCCACAAAGGGCATGGGAGGGTACCAAGAGCAGGACCCAGAGGCCCTGATATATTTAAAGGAGCCGTGAAAGCATTTCATATCCCTTTTACGGTCAAAGTCCGAAGGTGTTCTCGGGGACTGGCTAGCGAGAAGCTTCTGTGCAAAATTAGAAGAGAAGTTAGGAGAATGCCCAGAGGTTCTGTCTCAAGACCTCAGAGGTGGGTACTGCTCTTCTACCACCTGAGAGATTTGGGCTGTCACCTGGGGCTGTCTAGGCCAGATTGCAGAGGCAGTGGGAGGGGTAGGGGCAGAGAGCACACAGGCTGTTTCAGGAAGAGGATGCTGACCTCTCTTCTGCCCCAGGTTGGATGATTGACTCTGAATGTCGGCCGAGATTCCGGGAGTTGGTGGCCGAATTCTCCCGCATGGCCAGGGACCCCCAGCGCTTTGTGGTCATCCAGGTACTGGGCCTTTGTGCTGCAACCCTGCCTGTGGCTAAGGACACCCTCCCACGGCAGGCGGGAAAGGGAGATGATTTGGCATGCTGGGCTCTTCACCCTGTGTGTGGGAGCTGCACCCTGGGCTGGTGAGGGGCTGCCACCCAATGTCTCCCTCTTTCCCAGAATGAGGACTTGGGCCCAGCCAGCCCCTTGGACAGTACCTTCTACCGCTCACTGCTGGAGGATGACGACATGGGGGACCTGGTGGATGCCGAGGAGTATCTGGTACCCCAGCAGGGCTTCTTCTGCCCAGACCCTGCCCCGGGCGCCGGGAGCACAGCTCACCACAGGCACCGCAGCTCATCCACTAGGGTCAGTGTCCTTGGTCACAGTGGTGGCTGTGTTTGCTTACCTTCCCCCACCCCAATGGACTAGGGTCCCTTTCTCTGATGTTCCCCCAACCATCACCTCTCATGGAGACCTTATTATCCCTAAGGAAAATCCCCACCACCTTCCTACTCCTGTGACCTTGTTCTCTCCACAGTGACTGTGCCATACCCCCAAAGGTGACCTGTTTTTTTCCTGTGACCCTGTCACCTTCCATCACAGATTCATGAGTGACCCCCCCATCATGACTTTCTCTCTTATCCCTAGAGTGGTGGTGGTGACCTGACGCTGGGGCTAGAGACCACTGAAGAGGAGGCCCCCAGGTCCCCACTGGCACCCTCCGAAGGGACTGGCTCCGATGTGTTTGATGGTGACCTGGGAATAGGCGCAGCCAAGGGGCTGCAAAGCCTCCCCCCACATGACCCCAGCCCTCTACAGCGGTACAGCGAAGACCCCACAGCACCCCTGCCCCCTGAGACTGATGGCTACATTGCCCCGCTGACCTGCAGCCCCCAGCCCGGTACGGAATCCAGGCCTGAGCTGAGACGCTGGGAGGCGGGAAAGCTGGGGACCCTCACACAGGGTCCAGTGTGGAGGTGGCAGTTAGTGGCAGGGACACTGGGTTCTTTTCCCTAATAAGTCCTCTTCTGCTCTTTCAGAATATGTGAACCAACCAGATGTTTGGCTGCAGCCCGCCTCGCCCCGAGAGGGCACTCTGCCTCCTGCCCAACCTGCTGGTGCCACTCTGGAAAGGCCCAAGACTCTCTCCCCAGGGAAGAATGGGGTTGTCAAGGACGTTTTTGCCTTTGGGGGTGCCGTGGAGAACCCCGAGTACCTGGCACCCCAAGGAGGGACTGCCCCTCAGTCCCACCCTCCTCCAGCCTTCAGCCCAGCCTTTGACAACCTCTATTACTGGGACCAGGACCCATCAGAGCGGGGGTCTCCACCTGGCACCTTTGAAGGGACCCCTACAGCAGAGAACCCTGAGTATCTGGGCTTGGACATACCAGTGTGAACCAGAAGGCCACTGTCTGCAGAGGCCCTGCTGTGCCCTCAGGGAGTGGGGAAGGCCTGACTTCCACCTGTGTCACCAGGCAGGGAGGCTCTCAGATCACATCCAGGGGAGCCTGCCATTCTTGTCCTAAGGAATCTTCCTTCGTGCTTGAGTTCTCAGGTGGCTGAGAGGGGCCAGCCTGGTGGAAGAGGGGCCGCACTGGAGAGTGTTGGGCTGGTTTTGGAGCCCTGCCCCACCAGACTCTAGGGTCCGATGGATGCCACAGCCACAGACTCCTCACCTCAGGCCGCAGCCGAGCCAGGCCCTTTTCTTTCAGATCCTCGGTACTGAAGTAGACTTAGGGAAGCTGGCCTAGGAGGGGAAGAGGTCCCAAGGGAATGTCTGGGAACAAGAGCAACCCATTCAGAGGCTGTCCCTGAGATCTAGCACTGCCCCCAGGAGGAAGGGAGCAGCAGTAGTGTCCATACACAAGTCTTGTACAGAGTGCTTTTTTGTTTTTACATATTTTTTGTTTGTTTTGTTTTTCTAAAGATGAAATAAAGACCCAGGGGTAGAGTGGGTGTTATATGGAAGGGGGAAATCCCTGGGGTTGGGGGAGGGATATTCCTTCTCCATACCCACTTTCTTCCATTCGCAAATATATTTTGGAAAACAGCTGGGCACCAGCCTATATCTGGGGTGGCTCTGTGCCATCCCTTACTGCTCACCTTATACAACTCTTCCTGGAAGGATTGGCTAGGAATCTTCAGAAAACTTGTACGAGAGGCCTAACACTGTTTCCTGGCTTCTGGTTTGGGAGGAATCAGGAAGTTGGGATTCTGACCTGGGACCCCTTTGACAACCAGTTGTTTCTTACTTAGAACAAACTAATTCCTAAGCCCACCCACCAGAGAGGGGTCATTTCCTCCCTATGGGTAAAGGGATTAGGGGGTAGGGTGGGGGAAGGAAGAGGCAGTGTCTACTGTGGGACTCACTTTCCTTGCCTTGGCTCAATGAACTAGAATTCGCTGTCCAAAAAGCCCACCCAGCATAGCCACCCTGGTGATACAAAGCCTGGGCTGGCCTGGTCTCTGTGCCCCGCTCCAAGCCCAGACTGGACATATAAAGACACACAATAGTTGGCACAAGTGTTCGAAGTGCCAGTTTATTGCCAACAGCAGACACTGCCCCGGGCTAGGGGAGAATAAATAAGACATACTGTGGCACCTGACAGGAACTGCCAAGCTGGAGAAAAGACTGGGTTCTGTGGGCACTGATCCCAGGAAGGGCGTATAAGGAGGCTGTGGAAGAGTCCATGGAGAGCATCTGTCTCCTATCCATAAGGCCACAGAAGCTTCTATTCCCCCCTCGTACCCAAGGGGGCAAAATGGAGGCCAGGGTCTCTGCTACCAGGAGCGAAGTAAGGGAAAAGAGGCAGGGGAAGCTCCCAGCAGGACCAAAGGGGAGACCAAGGCTTGGATCCCCAAACAGAGCAGGAGTCCAGTGTCGAGTTCAGTCACAGGATGACGCAGGGAGGACGGCTGTTGGTGATCTTTTCTAGGGGTTCTCCATTACTGGCTCTTCGGATGGCCTCTATGAGCTAAAGGGCAGAGACATGGAATGTGAGGATGATGCACTGTTGGGGTAGGGTGACCCGGGGTCCTCTGGACACTGCAAATACTCACATCTTTCTCATAAGGAAAGCCCCCATTCTCCAGCTTGGAGAACACCAGCTGCCCATTAATCTCGATCTCAAAGGCTCCTGGGATGAAAGGAATAAATGGTGTGCTGATAACAGAAGCAGAAGTCCGAGGTGGCCCTCCGAAGGGCCTCCACAGTCCTTCCACAGATTTCACACAGGCTCCTTCATGTCCCCCACAAGTCTAGTTAGAGGCTCCTTTGTAGCTCGGTAAGCCATTCTCCAACCCTGGGTCAACTCCCAGGAACCTAAGGGAGGCCTCGCCGGGCTCCCTCTCCCGACCCTACACTGCGGCAGTCTAATCGGTTTTTCCCCGCAGGCTTCCTCATCTGTGACCCACCCCCGCTCCCACACACACCTATGGAAGGGGACTCAAGTTGGTTGGACATTTTAGCACGTGCCAGACACTGCGGGCATTTTACACAGAGCAGCCAATGTCAGAGCTAGAGAGTGGTCGAGCCGGGATTTAGCACACAGACTGACTCAGCAGGTGTTCTGCGGGCCTCACCTGTGCCCCCCAGGCGCGACTCGATCTCGATGCCCGGATACTGCTCCTTCACGGCACTCGCCAGCTCCAGGTAGGTCGCCTCGAAGCCGCAGGGTTCACTAGGGAGAGGGGAACTGGGTGGGCTGGGGAGCCGGGGGAGGGGCTTCGCGCGGACCCACCTCCGTCCGGCCCAGGACACGCGCGCGGGGACCTTCTAGCCGGGGCCGCTCACCAGTACTCCACCACGATGCGGACCCCACTGCCCGGTTCGGCCTCCCCGGGAGGGGGCGCCACGGACACCTGCCCCGGCTCCCCACTCATCTCCGCCGGCTCCGCACGGGCCGCTGCTTCCGGGTGTGACGCGACGCTCGGGCACGTGACGGGGCGGGGCCGCGCGTGGTGCCCGGGCGCCGCCTCCAGGCCGCAGCTGCGGCTGCGTTTTGACCCCCGTAGCGCCGCTCGAGCTTGCGTCCTGGGCTGGGGCTGGGCGTCCCGGGACTGGGAGGGTGGGTGTGGCTGATGGTATGTGATAGTTGCTACTTCTTGCAAACATGTTGATGGCATTTTAAACCACCCCTAGTTATGCACACTAGTGCTTCATGACTCCGCAGCTCTGAACTGCCTTTTCCAGTCTTTTGCCATGGCCTCTTCTGCGCACTGCAGAGACTAGGACTTGGGGTGAGGGGCAGCCCGTTCCTCAGACCCTGAGCCCCCCATCACTTGCACGCAGTTCTTGCCCAATCCCTGTCTTATTCCAGCCTTTCGCTAGAGGGCTGGCCTCGTTATTCCCATTTTGCAACTAGAAATATAGGCTGCCTAAGTTCTTGCAGCCTTTTCCCTTCCTGGAGTACCACTACAGTACCCTAGCAGGTAACTCATTCTGTTCTTTTATTATTTTATTTTATTTTTTTGAGTTGTAGTCTCACTCTGTCACCCAGACTGGAGTGCAGTGGCCGCTCCCGGCCACCGCAGCGTGGCCTCGACCTGCTGGGCTCCGGCGACCCTTCCGCCTCCGCCTTCCGAGGAGCCGGAATTACAGGCATGCGCTACCACGCCCGGTTAATTTTTTGATTTATAGTAGAGATGAGGTCTCGCTGCCCGGGCGGGTCTCGAACCCGCGGGCTCAGGCAGTCCACTCACCTCAGCCTCCCAAAGGCGCGGGATTACAGGTTGAGCCACCGAGCCCGGTTTGTTCCTTTATTTTTATTTACTGATTTTATTTTAAGGCGGGGTCTCACTCTGTCGCCCAGTCTGGAGTTAGTGGCACGCTCACGGCCCCGCAGCCTCGAATTGCTGGGCTCAAGCGATCCTCCCGCTTTAACCTTCCAAGTAGCTGGAACCACAGGCGCACACCATCATGCCCGGCTAATATTTTTTTTTTTTTTTTTTTTGAGTTGGAGTCTCACTCTGTCGCCCAAACTGGAGTGCAGTGGCCCCTC